TCTGCTGGATGAAGGCTCTAGGAAGTTTTTCAACACATCCCTAGAAGTAACACAGAGAGATGAGATCTGAGTCTTGAAGCTGCTGCCCGTGTCTGCATCCCTATTAAGTACGCCGGGAGTAGAGGTGTCTGGTGAACTGGGAGCCCCTTAGCAAATGCTGCTTCATCTTTTCAACCAATTATTGCTTCGAAGCTGTCTTACTTAGAGATTATGCAGTTGTATTTGTTTGTTTGAATACAAGAAATATGAAGGAAGCAGTGCTAAGAGGACAGTTCATAGCACTAAGTGCCCACATGAAGAAACTGGAGAAAAGTCACACTAGAGAATTGACAGCACAACTGAAAGCTTTAGAGCAAAAAAGAAGCAAACTCACCTCAGAGGAGTAGACGCCAGGAAATAATCAAACTGAGGGCTGAAATCAATAATGTAGAAACTAGGAAAATAGTACAAAGAATCAATGAAACAAAGAGTTGGTTCTTTGAGAAGATCAACAAGATAGACAAACCTCTATCCAAACTAACCAAGAGGCAGAGAGAGAGAGAGCACACTAATTAACAAAATCAGAAATGAAAAAGGGGGGAGATATAACAACAGACACTGAGGAAATCCAGAGAATCATCAGGTCATCCTTTGAAAGCCTGTACTCCACAAAATTCCAAAATCTAAAGGAAATAGACAATTTTCTGGATAGATATCACTTACCAAAATTAAACCAAGAACAGACAAGCAGTTTAAATCGACCTATACCCCTAATGAAATTGGGTATGTTGTGTCTACATTCTCATTAAATTCTAGGAAGTGTTTAATTACTTTTTTTAAAATTTCTTCCTCGACCCAGGAATGGTGCAATTAGGTGTCATTTAATTTCCATGAGTTGGTAGGTCTTCTGCAATCAATTTGTGTTGTTGTTGAGCTCTAACTTCAAAGTGTGGTGGTCTGATAAGATACAGGGGGTTATTTCATTTTTTTGTATCTGTGGAGGTTTTGCTATGTTGCCAACTATGTGGTCAATTTTAGAGAAGATTCCATGTGGTGCAGGTTAAGACCATTGACATTGAGAGCTATTAATGTCCATTGATTGTTGGTTCTTGTTTGTTTTGGATTTATTGTTGGTGGTGTCATTGTGTGTGGATTTCACCCTCCTGTTTCTTTTCGTGTTCAGTAAAGTTAGATCATCTATTGCCTATGTTTTTGTAAGTTTAGTTATCTTCATTGGGTTGGAGTTTTCCTTTCAGAACTTTCTGTAGGGATGGATTTGTGGATGTGTATTGTTTAAGTCTGGTTTTGTCATAGAATATCTTGTTTTCTCCATCTATAGTGATTGAAAGCTTTGCTGGATACAGTAGTCTGGACTGGCATCCATGTTCCCTTAGTGTTTGTAGGACATCTATCCAGGACCGTCTGGCTTTCAAAGTTTCCATTGAGAATTCGGATGTGATTCTGATAGATCTGCCTTTATATGTTATTTGGCCTTTTTCCTCTACTGCTCTTAATATTTTCTCTTTATTCTGTAAGTTTGGTGTTTTGATTATTATGTGGCAAGTGGACTTCTTTTTGTGGTCCAGTCTATTTGGTGTTCTGTAAGCTTCTTGTACTTTCATAGGCATATCCTTCTGTAGGTTGGGGAATTTTTCTTCAATGATTTTGTTGAATATGTTTTCTGTACCTTTGGCCTGTATTTCGTCATCTTCTTCTATACCTATTATTCTTATGTTCGGCCTTTTCACGGTGTCCCATATTTCCTTGATATTTTGTGTTAGGGATTTGTTGGACTTGAGATTTTCTTACGTCAATGACTGTATAACCTCTAGTGAGTCTCCAACAACTGAGATTCTCTCTTCCATCTCTTGTGTTCTATTGGTTATACTTACATCCTTAGTTCCTGATTGTTTATACAGCCTTTCTATTTCCAGCATCCCCTCATTCTGTGTTTTCTTTATTGTTTCTATTTCAGCTTTCATGACTTGAACTGTTTCGAGTGCTTCCTTCACTTGTTTGGTTGTTTTTTCTTGGCTTTCTTTGCATTCTTTAAGAGATTTGTTTATTTCTTGAATATTTTCGTTTGTTTTTTCCTCCATTTCATGTAATTTTTCCTTGTTTTTTCTTCTATTTCTTTAAGGGGTTTTCTTGTTTCCTCCTTCATGGTCTCTATCATCTTCCTAAGATAATTTTTAAGGTCCATCCTCTGCATTGGGCTTTTCAGATCTTGCTGGTGTGGAGTCCCTAGATTCTGGTGCTGTCATATTAGTCTTTCTTTTGTTGAGTGTGTTCTTATTCTGTTTTCTTGCCATCTCTTCTTCCAGTGGGTGCAGGTGGGGCCTCTCTATCTCCTCTTGTCACCTGGTGGTGTGTGTGGACCAAGACTTCAATGTCTGCAGCTCTGGATGGTCTTGCCTCTCCTGGTAGTCTCCTCACTCAGCAGGGTTTGGGGCGGTGGAGGGGAAACAAGAGTGAGGTGTCTCCAGACTCAGGGAGATCCTCCCTGTCTGGGTGGATCCACTCTATGCAGGCACAGGCCCAGAGAGATCCAGGGGTGATGGGGACGTTTGGCAGGAGTAGGGCAGGAGCAGAGGGTACACTTACCTCTGTAGAGGTCAGGCTGGCTGAGGGGGGAAGGAAGAGTCGCTCTTCTCTCTCTCTCTCTTTTTTTTGACAAACTTTGAACAAAGACTAAAAATGGCAAGCTCGAAAGTCAACAGTCCTGTGCCAGTGTCCTCCTTTTTCTTCCTCCCCTCCTATCCATCCTTTTTTGTAAATCTCATTACTTTGCTTTTTCTAGAGGCTGCTCTCTGTAAATAAAACAGCCAGAAATGTTTTCATCATGCACATCAGATTATGCCACCCGTTAATGGTTTGATCACTCTCACTTAGAATAAAATGCAAAGTCCATTTCCAAGCCCTCTGTACCTCAAAACATTGGCTGGCATCTGCTCTATCCATCCAGCGACATCTATACTCTGGTTACCTTGAGTTTGATTAACTCACTCAGCCACAAAGTGGTTTTGCATTTGGTGCTTCCTCCTCTGAGACTTCTTGTTGTCTGGAATCCTTACAGAATTGATCCTTCTCCTCCTCTTAAAGATCACCTTTGTTAAGAAGTTATTTCTAGTCCATTATCAATTCATCCTGCTTCGTTTTTACTTGTTATTCAATGTAACAAGTATTTATCAAGCACTAACTATATGTGATAAAGAGCACATTTGGGTGTCTGCTCTTCATAGAGCTGTGATTGCAAGGAAGGAGGTAACTGAAGGTACCCCCACCATCCAACGCTGCCACCCAATCTCATACTGTATAGGAAATAGAAGACCTGTGCACTCAGTGGTGTTCTGTTCCTGCTGGAATCAGCAGAGAGAACGTCTTGGAAGCCCATTCTTCCTCCGGTTTTCACTACTTGCTCCTGTAAGCTTACCTCCACCACTGGGGAGCAGTAAGGAAAAACACACAGAGCGGTGCTGCAAAGATCTAGTCCACCAAATTTACTGGGCACACTCCTAAAATTCACACGACCTAACTTTTGTACTTATTCCCTTGTGTGTGAAGTGGGAGCATCCTGTTTCAGAAGGCTCTCGACTAAATTATGAACTTGAAAGGTAGGAAGCTATCCAAAAGTTACTGTTTCTATTAAGAGAATCATTTCCCATTCCCAGTCAGGTACCTGAGCTCTGAAGTAACACTTCTAATGGAATGGGTTTCTAGAGTTTGTAAATAAAGTGCACAATTTCATTGTCCTCCCACAGAAGGGTTCTGACTCCTTCCTCTTCCTCTGCTTTGGAGAGATACATCTTCATCTCTTCATCTGTGTATCTAGGTGGTTTAATGTCCTTTTGCTAAATTGTGGGCAGGTCTTGTTTCCCACTTGTTTGCACCACCTAAATTCAGGTCAAACCCCTGTTGGCTGTCTTCTAAGATTTTCAAGTCATCCTTCAGCCCTTCCCGTTCAAATTGACTTAGTATCATGACATTATCTAACCCATTTATGTCTTTCTATTACTCAGAAACACAGAAACCTTACTGCCTATATGATGTGTTTAAAACCCATTAGTGGGTCATCTGGTGTCCCTATGATCTGTCTTCAATCTGCCTTTCAATTTTGGTCTCTCACTTTTCTTTCTTCTGGGTGTGTTTGTGTACCACCTACCCGCCTCTGTGTATTCGTTTACATCATTTTCATCTGCCTAATCTTCTCTAGTCTCTTGGTGCCAGATCTGCTCCCTGTTCAGGATGCTGTATATTTTCTGTTTCACAGAAATACCGACTCTTTATTTGCATTTGCATTTTCAATACTGCATGCAACATTGAGACCCATTTGTCTCTGCAGGCCTCCTCAAAACCTCCTCCCGAAGGAGAAACCTACTGTTCATTTTAAATTAGCAAAAGTAGTAGAGATTTTCTTCCATACTTTCCTTTTTACAAATGTAAAGGAGCCCTCCTCTCCCTTCCCCAAAAGAAAGTGAAAATGTGAAGCAGAGAAAGCATTGAACTTGCAGACCTCACTTCGTTCATTGTGAGAAGAACTCGGTGGATTTTCTCAGAGAGCTCAATTCAGCTTTATTAAATTGCATCATGTAAGTTCTTGGTTAGCCCGATGAAACTATTGACATTTATAAAAGGTTTACCCTAGCAGCTGACTAATGACAAAACAAAGAGTTGGGTGACTCCTCATGGTTACCAGTAGCTAGCTGGCCCAGGCTTGGGAACACTCTTTCCATGCCCTCCCTGAAGAGGGATCTGTGTATTCTTTTTTTTTTTTTTTTTGTTTTTTCCAGACAGGGTTTCTCTGTGCGGCTTTGGAGCCTCTCCTGGCACTCACTCTGGAGACCAGGCTGGCCTAGAATTCGCAGAGATCCTCCTGCCGCTGCCTCCCGAGTGCTGGGACTAAAGGTGTGTGCCACCAACGCCCGGCTGGGGTCTGTGTATTCTTGTCACAGATTATTGCAACCCTGATGCCTCAGGTAGTTTGACGCTAACGCTCCCTCTGTCTCTCTGTCTCTCTACAGTACTTCGGAACATTACTGGTCATCTTCTGTGTAGAACTGGCTTGTGGTGTGTGGACATACGAGCAGGAGGTTATGGTGAGTTCCCAGTGGGGCAGAGTCACAGTGTGGGGCACTGGAGAGTAACTCTGTCACATGGCTGTTACTTCAATGATCACATGACGTGGCAAGGCTCATATCTTGGGGTACTGTGTTACATTGTTAGTTCTATAGATTTCTTAGACACGGTCCTCCTGGATTGGAACTAGTCTAAGACAGTTCCACTAACTTCTGAGGTAATAATGAGGAACACTAGCATGTGTTTATTGGAGAGTGCTAGATCTCCTCCTTTAAGCCTATCCTTGCTGACCACAGCAGAACGCCCTGGAGGAAGCCAGCATCTCCTGATTGCAGCAAGCTAAACCACATTGCCCTTTAAGAAGTGCATTTGAAGAATTGCTGTGTGCTCACAGTGGTGTAAAAACTCTCACAGCTTGAGATTTGGCTGCTTGAAAACAGCAGTTCAGCATTTTCCCTCTTATTTCAGCCATTGAAACCACCAGGAAAAAAAAAAAAAAACAACCTTCATAGCTTTCTTAGAATGAACTAGAAGTTTTTTCAGCCTTTTTTGCTAGTTGCTCTGTCACTTGCACCATCCCCCCTAACAGTCCTCCACCCCAACCCTGGCCCTTGCATAATTTCAGTGGTGACATTAGTACAGTTCTTCCCAGTGAGGAATAGAGTTGCTTTGCATGCCCCTGAATGCTGGCTGGTGTCATGCCTCATAGAATACTTCTGTTTCTGCAACATGGTGCTTTTCAATGTGTTGCCCTTGGTCTTCTGGGGAGGCTTAAAAGGTGATTCTCAATCACTTGCATTCCTTTGTTCCAGTCCAGATGTGCCTAGTTAGAATGGAGGGAAAATAATTTTAAACATTTAAAGATTCAAGACCTCTTAAGAGGGGTGGTCGTTTTGTGTTTGTTTCAGAGATAAGCAGGACATTAGGCATTTGTGTAATAAAACTGATGTCATTTCTGTCATCAGAACAGTTATTAAAGGTTCTGTGGTGTATTTGTAGTGTGCTGAGACTACAGATACTCAGTGGCTATCGCAGACTAATGTCGAAGTTGACCTGTGCAGGCCACTGTACTAGCAGTCATAGCTCCGTGAAGACACTCATACCGCCACATATGAGAACTCAGGGGAAGAAGACGGCATCTATGGAAAGTTGAAGGCTCTGGGTCTGCCCTAACTAACTCACTATAAAATTGAGAAGTATGGGGGAAAAAAACTCCCATTAAACAGGAGTTCACTTGCTTGCTTTCAGTCACATTTTCACTTTAATCCCTAGAAACTTTGTACATTAGGAAAAATGAAAAAGTAGTAGGGCCCCAGAGTTTTGTTTTACTATAAGGAGGTTTACTCCGTTTTCAGTTTTCAAAAATAACCTACATCCCTGACATGCAAACAACAGAAGAATAAATCTTACAAATAATTCTTAATTCTTTTAACCCCAGGTTTTGGTGTATTCTATTTGGTAATTAAATTTTGTTTTGAAATAGATTCATTTATTTATTTAATGTAGAGACAGGATCTTACTTCATAGTCCAAGCTAGCTTAGAAGTCACTATGTAATGCCCTCTGTCCTGACATCTGTGGCAATCCTCCTGTCTGAAGCCTCTGAGTGCTTGTCCTGAGGCAGCATACCCGATTGGTACTATGGATTTTCTAGCTGGGTTGTGAAGTCAGTGTCCTCCTGATATATGATGAATCTCCAAAGCTGGGAAGTGTGGGATGAGTTAATCCAGCATGTTTGACAGGGCTGCTTTCTCCATGCTAAGAAGTGTAAGAACACAAAGCAACTTCCATTTGCTCAGATGCTGCCCTCCAAGCAGGGACCCTCCTCAATGGCTTCAGCTCCTGGGGCACTGAGTGAATGCACACTGCCAGCCATTTCAGTCACAGGCACACGTCATTGTTTTGCTTGTGTAAATCTTCCCCATTACATCATCGGAGAGAGGAAGGTAGGGCTGTTTAAAAGTGAAATGTGGAGAGCAGCCTTGCAGAAAAAGAAAAGTCGGCTTTACAGTTTTTATTGCTTCTGTACTAATAACAATGTAAAAGAAAAGTGTCATTAAAGTTTATTATCTGCCAAATTTCACAGAATCCAACCTTTACATAGAATGGGCTTTGTGCTCTAAGCTGTTTCATGCAAGCAAGCTGTTCACTGTGTGTTGTGCTTTATGGCTGGAGCCCAGTATTTGGTGCCAGACCTCAATGGTCCTCTGTTCTCTTGCCACATTTGGTTTGAGATTGATGGCCGCAGTGAAGAAACAACCAGTGTTTATTTTAGAAAGCAGAAATTCAGAAAAAAGTTATTCTATTAACTAAGTCAAGAGACTTGACATCTGTCTGATCTCCGATTAGTTTTATTGTTTCTATGTGCTCAGATCCTATTAATACTCCAGTTAAAATCTGTCAATAATACTGTTTCAAATGATATACGTCTCAAAAATTTTTTGTATTATGTTTCCAAGTGATTATTAAAAACAACTAGAAAAGATATAAAATTGAAGAATTTCTGTGTCTAAGGAATTGTAAACTTATTTCTACTGGTATTACTTTTTTTTTTTTCCTGAGGTAGCTCTAGCTATCCTTGAACTTGCTTTGTAGACCAGATTGGCCTTGAACTTACAGAGACCCACCTGTCTCTGCCTCTGGGCTATTATTACTATTTTTACATTTAATTTTTAGTTAAAAATGTATGTGTATATTGGTATCCTGTGTGCATGTATGCCCACAGTGTCTACAGGTGCACACACCCATGCTCAAATGCTGAAGTCAGAGGAGAACTGGGGTCCCCTCCACCGATCTCTGCTTTGTTCCTTTGGCACAGCATCTCTCACTGAATTTGGGGATTGGCATTTTCTGCTAGGTTAGTACCCTGGAGCTCCAGTGCTCCTCTCCTCTCAGCCCTTCCTCCCACCTCCTGAAGTGCTGAGGTTACAGGCACACATGGCGGTATCCAGCCTTTTCTGCATGCTGGAGATCTGAGCTTAGGTCCTGATGCTGTGCAGCGTGCACTCTTACACACGGAGCCACCTCTCCAGCCTGATAGTACTGTTTTTAATAAGATTTCAAAATTACCCTGGTCTTAGGTTTTAGAGCAGTGGCTCTCAACCTGAGGGTCAACAAGGAGTTATTGGGGGGGGGTTCAAATGACCCTTTCACGGAGGACACCTAAAACCACTGGAAAACACAGATATTTACATTACCATTCACAACAGTAGCAAAGTTACAGTTATAGAGCAGCAATGAAAACATTATGGTGGTGGTCATTATAACAGGAGAAACTGTATTAAATGTCACAGCATTAAGGAGGTTGAGAACCACTGTTTTAGAGGCGTCTAACGCAACTTCCCTTTTCTGTATCGTAGTTCTCGATCCCCACGTCAGTTTCTTGAATGGCAGGTGTGTTGGTGTGAGTTTAATTTAGGTTCTAAGCAAGTATAAACTAAAAATGGTATGTGTCAGCTTTACCACACTCTGTATACACATGGTGTTGTGTTGTCCGTGGGCTCTAGGTTGTAGATTTACATATGTGAGTGAGCCTTTGCCTGTAGATTTATGTATGTGAGTGAGCCTTTGCCTGGCTGGTTGAGCTTGTGTGTTGATAGTTTGTCTTGTTTTCTTTTTTATCTCTAGGTGCCAGTACAGTGGTCAGATATGGTTACTTTGAAAGCCAGAATGACAAATTATGGCTTACCCAGGTATAGATGGCTTACACATGCTTGGAATTTTTTTCAGAGAGAGGTAAGTGCTGCTATTCCTGGGGGTAGAAAGTGTAGGATTAGTGGCAAGTTGTCACAGCAGGTGTTCAATGCCTTGGTTGTGATCATTTTCTGCAGTGTAAACTGAAGCCTGGTGCAACACCCTCCCCCCCTTGCAATGCCTGGAGTCATTCCTGCTTGTCTTTTCATCCATTCCCACCTCTCCACCTTCATTCCTTCTGGTCCACCTGTTTAGAAGTTGTTTTGTCCAACTACTCTGAAGTTTCCTTTTCATGAGTTATTTAATAAATAGCCAAAGTTTTACTTAGACATTTCTCTTTTATGACCATTTTACCACTTTTAGAGTTACCCATCTTTTAAACATCATTTCAACACTTTAAAAGGTTGCTTCCATTTGTGAATTTCCTGAGTGTGAACATCATTATCAGTCTGCTTTTTTTTCTAGTCATGATGTCTTTGGTTCAAATCCTAGCTCTGTCAAGTACTATCATTTCACTGAATTCCCTAGGCCTCGGTTTCCCCACAGGGACAGTACAGGTATTCACCTTGTGGGGGTGCTGAGCAGAGTGAAGAAGAGCGAATCTATGATGCCATGGACCTTATCTCATTTAGCCTATGCAGATATTGCAAAATACACCTTTCTTCCAAATCTGTTTTACTTTTCATCAGAGTGTCTTAAGCGGGAACTGTTTCCTAGATGCTTAAAATCCAGTGACTTGAGATTACTGGTTGCATTAAACTTGCATTAAACCAGCTCTCCTGAGCATTTACCTTGTGAGTGGCATGATAATTCTAGAAGACCAAGTATCTCAGTTTGCTTTCCTTTCTCTTGCTCCGGCCCACGAGACATGTGAGCGTCTTACTGGACAGCCATCCCTGTCTGTGTCTGTGGCAGAGATTCAAGTCTAAGACAATCTCCAAACCTGGCTCTGTGTCACAATTGTTGAGATGGTAAAATTATCAGTGTTGCACAGATTTCCTGTTATTTCATTGTTTCCTGACTTTGTTTGTTGCACAAATATAGAAAAAAAAAAACGGTTCAATGAGAAGACACATGAAGCGATGGGGCATTTGAACTGATGAAAGAAACTGCTAGAAACCAGGTTGAGAAACTTGTTCTCCTCCGTACAGGGCTCTACCTCTGTGAACCGTGTATAAGTACTAGGAATGTTGCATGCTAGTTTCTCTTGGCATGTTCCCTCTTATTTCACAATGCTACTTCACATAAAAGGCATGGTGAATACTTCCCAATACCTGGAAGACTTTTAAACTCTTTATAGTAATCTGATAGAACTGCCACAGTTAAGTGTCACAGACAGGGTTCCTTAGACCAAGTGTTTGTTCTCTACTCTAGAGATTGAAAGTTCAAGGTTGGCAATATTGATGTCTTTTGTCTCCTCCTGGCTTGTATGGCTTTCTCCCCATGTCTTCTCATTGTCTGGACTCGTTATGTGCTGTGTTTAATTTACCTCTTCCTATAAGGATGTTATTCATACCTAATTGTGGCCCATGATGATGGCCTTATTTGAAGTTAGTTACTCCTAATGGCTCTTTCACCATAAACATTTGCACTCTGTGGCATGAAGGTTAGAATTATAACATGTAAGTTTAGATGGAGAGAGACAACCGCCTAGGATGGCTTTCTTTCCCAATAAATCATGGGCCAGAAAATCATCTGGTCACGTTTTAGCCCTTGAAGCCCCTCATTCACTGGTACCCTGTGCATGTAACATAACTGAATAGATTTTGCATAATTCTTAGTGACACTAATGTTTTTTAACCCCAATTATAAAAAGGAATTTATTTTAACATGGTAATGGTTGTATACTTTGGAATCACAGGTGCTGCCATACACTGACCTATGACTTTGGAAAGTAACTTCACCCATTAGGGGTCTCAGTTTATTTACATGTAAAATAGTGATTCTATTTTCTACAGCTTGATGTAGTATCAACTTGGAGTGAAACAATCTTGCCAGGTAGTGGTAGAACACAGGTGTGTACTGGGGTAATATTGAGTTGACCTTAAGTAGGTTCAGGAAGCCTCCATGAAGACCCACTGTCCTCTGTTGGATAAGGCAAGACAACCACAGAGAAGAGAACGGATGTTAGTGGTTCCTTAACAATGTTGGCACCGATCAGGGCATGTTTAAATTATCTGGAAAAAGCCACTGCTGTGGAAATCTTCATTTCCTGACAAAGCCAGATCAATGGGCCACTCCGCTGACCGAGGCTGGAGGGAAGGCTCTGAGACCTGCCCTGTGATGTCAGCTCCAAAAGGTCTTGTGTGGCTAGAAACTGGGGGAAATGATTCTCTCTAGGTAAAATGTGGTATCAAAGTGTGATAGATTACAGAATTTAGAGAGGGCAGTCTTTTAATTATGTCCCTTATTTTCAGGCTTCCAAATGCTTTGCATCAGTGTGTGACATGAGATTTGTCAATCTGTGACATTTATGTTACAGTTGTAGTGCTTAGGATGTGTCTTCTTTGTGATGCTTATGGTACATGCATGGTTTTAAAACAATACAGAAAATATTTTTAAATTTTCTCAAAACTCTGGTATTAATGGCTCTCAGTGATTATCATTCAAAGTGCTTTTCAGATGCTTTCTTTTTTCTTTTTAAATCATAAGCTCTTTAAATCATAAGCTGTTTAGGTACAGCAAGTGAAAACGTACCAAGTACATTGAGCATTTTCCTCGCTTGCTGTTGCATGAAGAATTCAGAATTCTTCCAAGTTTTGGTTAAGCTTTGAAATGGCGCTGGATTGTGATATTTTATGATTCAGTGTTAATCCAAGCACAGATTGGTCTCCTGGGCTATGTAATTTGCATTGCCATAACTCTTGGCAGGGTTCTTCTCCGTGACTGCCGTATTCCTTCCTTTTCACTGTGTGGAAGAGAATTTCTCTTTTATCCAAGGGCAAAGCTTGGTTAAAACCACAGTTAGTTTTCTGAATCCAGCCTGCACCAGCCTTCAAGCAGTGTTTCTAAGCCTTTATCCAAGTTTTTAATAATCTGTGGTGAAGTACAACAGAAAAAGCAGTCTGCTTAACCATGGTATAGAGAAAGACATGTTCACTTTAAGTCCAACTACATTTAAGCTAGGGACACCATCATTTTTCTGAGTTTATATAAGGATGCAACATGACAGTAGATCAAGAACTCCATCCTATTGGGTGATACTAAGTTGGACAAATTATTTACAGAACTTTTGCCTTGGTTAAGGAACCTAAGACTGGCTGGTGAGCTTTGTGATGTGGGCTTTGGTCATCAAGTCTTTCCATAGAATTTTTGGAAATTTTTATCACAATAATTGAATTTGTTGAGTAGTTACGCTAGTGAGTGGGCAGTAAAAAAAAAACAAAAAAAAAAAAACAAAAACAAAAAAAAAACGATTAGCTACTTTCTACTGACTAGAAGGTAATGGTAATACAAGTTCAGCTATTGAATTTGTAAGTGTGTGAAATCTGTCATCGCTATGATCATCTGCAGAAGATCCTAGAGTCGGAGAAGGAGACACACGTTTGCTTTTAGGTAGGGTGGGTGCTGCGGTTCGTAACCGTTCCATTATGGGATGTTTACTTAGATATTCCCTTAGGATGTGTCTGTTGTCAAGACAGAATGTGCGCACAGCTTTAGCTGATAAGTGAGTTTAACCCTGAGTTCAAACATTTAAGAAATCTATCGCATCTCTCAAGTTAAACAAAAGGTGTTTTGCGTAGTTTCTAAGTGTGGCTGGTAACTCTTTTTTAGTTTAAGTGCTGTGGTGTGGTGTACTTCACTGACTGGTTGGAAATGACAGAGATGGACTGGCCTCCAGATTCCTGCTGTGTTAGGGAATTCCCAGGATGCTCCAAGCAGGCCCACCAGGAAGACCTCAGTGACCTTTACCAAGAGGTAAGACAAAGTATGGTTAACATACCATGAACAAAACCTCCCCAAAGAACCTTCAACACTATTCTGATTAAAATTTCACTTTCTGTGCACATCTTTAGGCCTCAGATTTTTCTCTGATAAATGCAGCAACAAGAAAACAAAATGAAGAAAAATTATCACCGACCACATTTTATAACAAGGGAGAGTGGGAAAGACCTAGTTCTATCATTAATTACATTTTATTTTATTATTTAAAAAATAACCCTCCCGGGTGATTAGATTTTACACTCTAATGCTTAGAGCCAATTTCTAGTAAATATGTGTTGATTGTGTAGCAGAATGGATCTGTGGGAAGCCTGGCCTCTGCAGTTCCCGGGGAAACTATTTTAGGGCCCTGATTAGGGCAAAGAAAACTCTCCTGAGAAAAGCCCGTGTGTTGCTCTTTGGTTCCCCCTGCTGGTGATAGCTGGTAACCTCGGTTTTGGTTTGAAGAAGCAGTTTTTCTTACTGGGTTTAATCATTTGGTGCCAAAAATTTCACATATTGTGTGTTCTTCTGGGATTTATCCCAGCCATCAGTTGCCATTTCTTAAGAGTTTTTATGCCCCTTTATATTTAGTGGTTTCCCAGTCATTACTGGGTTGAAATGTAAAGTTTTACTGTCGCTGGGCTGGAGAGATGGTTCTCTGATTAAGAACACTTACTGCTCTTCGAGAGAACCTGGGTTCAGCTCCCAGCGCACATTTTGTGGCTCACACCCATCTGTAACCCCTGATCCAGGGGATATGACCCCCACCTCCAAGCTCCTGCACACATATGCATATATCTAAATTCAGGCATACATTCATGTAGACAGGATCAAATAAATGAAAAAATTTAAAGTTTTACAGCACTCCCTGGCTATGTGTGATTGTTTTCATTAAATTAGATCAGGTAATTAAATTCAAATATCATTACTCAGTTTCAGTAGGAACATTTCTACCTGTGGTCATGCAGTCGTGGGACATGCTGAACACTTGGGGCTTAACATAAATGCTTAACAATGCGAGTATGTGTTTGTGTTATGTGCATCTATGATATGAATGTAATAATAACACATCTAAGGGTGTGTGTGTGTGGGTGTGTGTGTGTGTGTTGTTCACGCACACATGCTGTGTATATGTGTGTAGGTGTACTCACTCACATGTGTGAATATGGAAGCCAGAGGTTGATTTCAGTTGTCTTCCTCCACTGCATTGCCTTTTTTTTTTTTAATTTTAAGATAGGGTCTCTCACTGAACCTGGAGCTTACTGACTTGGCTAGGCTGGCTGGCAAGCAAACCCCTGGCATCTACCTGTCTCTGCTACCTCAGTGCCGGGGCTGCAGATATGTGTTGCTGTGCCCAACATTTATTTATGTAGGTGCTGGGGATTTGAACTCAGGTTCTAATGCATGCATAACAAATAAGTACTTTACCCATCGAGCCATTCCTCCCCACCCTGAGCCACAGGACTTTTAAGATATATGCCTTTTATTTACTTTAAAATATACTTTTTGTTGTTGTTTCATCACACAATATTGTACGTTCATTTTTTAAAGTATTACCACCTATTAAAGTCAGTTGTGGAGATGCATAGTGTTTACTGCTTGCTAATTGATTTGAATTAATTTCAACAGTGCTGCAAGCTGAGTGGCTTCAGCAACAGAGACAGGTTTGCAGTTCTACAGAATAGAAGTTCAAGGTCACTATGCTTGAAAGCTGAGGTCAGCCCCTTCCAAGGCCCAGGAAGAAGAGCACAGTGTACCTTCCTCCCAGCTTCTGGTCTTGTCAAAAAGCTGTCCTGGCCTGTGTTTTGTCTTTACTTGGTATTTCTTATGTGTCTTTCTGTCTCCAAATTTCCCCTGAAAGGTCACCTTGGAGCCCACCGTTCTGCAATCTGGGTTCATCATCACTTCATTACATCTTAAATAACCCAGTTGTCATAAAATCATATCCTGAACTGTGAAGAGAACAGATTAAACATAAATTTTTCAAGGCAATAGTCTAAGCTATAGCCGGAATACTTGAAGCAACTGAATAACTCGGCTTGTTTATTATAAAAGATAATAAAAAACATGTATTGTGATTCCTCACATTACTGAAAATATGGTGTTTGGCTTTGATTATTTTGAACTTGTTATGATTAGATGTAGTTGGCTTCAATGACACAAAGTATACATCAGATACAGTTAAGTAGACAAGGCACCGTGGAGCCAGTGTTTCTAGGTCCCTCAGTGTCTGTGCTCAGGTGAAAGTCGACTGATCTGCTGTCTAGCGAATGTTGTAGAACATGATGAAATGTAATCAGGTTGTAGCTTTCTACAGAACCCAGGACTCAATTTTTCTGAGAGTGTTACTGCAGAGATTCAAATGCATATGACATACTGCTATCCGTTAAAAGAACGTTAGGTGATTAGAACACAAATACCTATAGACATGTGCATTGAATCCTAGTGTAAATTTTGCTCGTTGTTTGGTTCCGAGAAACAGCAAGTCAGTATTGAAAATGGCTGGGCTTCAGCCCAGTGACGTGGCATCTGCCTTGGTGCTGATGGTTACAGCTTTTCAAAGCCTGGATGTGGGTTATCTCTCTTCAGTTTTCCTTTATTTAGCTGAAATTTGTTCCCTTGTTTATAAGCTGTAATTTTTTCCTTGTAAAACTCAGTTATTTTTTATTCCCAGAGTGGCTTAGATTATTTCTGCTAGTGCTTCACTTCATAATGGGGCGCTTTCTTTTGGTGTTTTTTTTTTTTTTTTTTTTTTTTTTTTTTTTTTTTTTTTTTTTTTTTTTCAGGATGTCTAATGGAAAGGTTGGAGGAAGCCGTATTGTTGCACATGTACAAAGTGGTAACCCAGATTTATTTACATGTTATCTTCCTATTTTAATCAAAAGGCTCTCCATCAGCTGGTACAGGTAGTTATAAATCGATTTCAGACACAGACCTCTGGTTAGGTAGGTTGTATCAGAGAAGTCTGCTTTGGAATTTTACAATTAACAACCGACGCTGATATTAGTAATGACAACAGAACACAGTTATACGCATAATTGACTTTCAAAAGTGGATCGTTTAGAAACTTTATGGTTCAAGTACAATTAGGTCTATAATTAAGAGGTTAGCATCCTGAGATCACCCCATAGCAAAATGGGTGTTTAAAAGAAGAAATAGTGACTAAGAGCTGGGAGATTTGAGAGGGTTCTTTAGAAGTTGAAAAAGCTAAGGGAAAATAGTTTAGACGTTTTCAGATATCTAAAAGTTCATATTTCAAAACAGGAATGAGGCAAGCACAGAGTTGCTCCCAGGGCCAGATGTTACAGGAAGGAAAGCTTGCATCAATGGGAGGAAGACCTTGCTCATCAACCTCTGTCCAATCACAAGACAGGTTATCTTGTAAGATACTGTCTCATCACTGAAAATATTAACGTCAAGGTCAGATGGTCACATCACTGGGGGCTGTAGAATGGGTTTTTGAATTAAGAGTGAATCTATGCTAGATGGGCTTCAAGGTCCCTTTATCTCCCATATTCTGTAAGCTCAGAGATAAGCACTGGCTTTCTTCCTGTCCTCTTTCTTCAGAAGTCTGAAATCAGGGAAATAAATCACTCTCAACCATCTGGTGGCCTGCCTGGTTCCCTGACCCAATAATATTTTATGACAGATTTTGAAACCTGTGAAAAATGATAGGGCAGAAATACAGCAACAACTGCACATTTTTGAAATATTCTTACCAGAGGTGCAGTTAGGTTCGGCACACAAATCCTTGAATGTCCATAATAAGAGGCATACACACTTGTATCAAATATAATTACAGGTGCAGCTATCTCTGACTCTCACTTTGATTTTCTATATTCATATACCCCAAATACTTTGTGATCATCTCTAGTTCCACATGCGCTATCCAATGTTGTGGCTGAAATTCTCTCTGATTGCTTAAAAGGGTAGTAATGTAGACATTTTGCAACAACAAGAAAAAGACAATTACAGAAAGAAAAAAAACAGGTGTTAGTAAACATTTTGAACTCAGTACTAGGGTGAAGCTTTATTGGTGGGGGAGCTTCTTTGGGTAGCATGAGGCTCTCATAACAGGTACTATTTCACCTGAAAACCAACTGGTGACAAAGGCACAACTGTACAAAGCTTGTGATAGTATTGTTGGCTTAGGAAACTGCAGGGTACCAAGATTCAGGTGGCCTGAGTCAGTGATCACTGGCTTTGTGGTACCTCATTCTTAGGAAGTGTTTGTGTAATCATGCCCTTAAATGCTGGATGATAGACTTGGTCTCAGCCAAGCTTCAAAATCAGAGTCAATGTTGATGAAATTCAGCATGTGCTGTTTCCTGTCTCCCATTACAAACTTGCAATGTTTAAGCTTGGCCTGGAGAAACAACCAGAGAGGAGCGGAAGATACAAGATGTTAGAAAGTTTCACACAGCAGGGATCCCTGGGCTGCTGCCCATGGCTGTGGGCTCTTCTTGGAAGAACAAGTTACACCATCAACTAAACTCACTTTTAGTATTTTGTGTGCATTTTACTGATGAACAGCAACCACAGCTTTCATCGAATCTTTAAGGGGCTTTTTTGGGGGAGAATAACTGTAGTCCGCGTATCTCAGATGGGAAACAAACAGGCCCTTCAAGCGAACCCAAAGGCTCTCTTGCTCCATCTCAGGAAAATCAGATGAAGCTTAACAAGCGCAAACCAGCCCTACTTCAAATGGACCCACTCAAAATATAAAGCAAAGATGGACAGAAAGCCAAGCGAAACATGTCTAGAGACACATATCTTTGTTTTTGTAGTTAAAGGAGAGACGCTTGCTACAATATATCAACCACTTCTCAAGAAAAGTAATGGTCTCAGTCATGTACATGAGGGCAGGGCAGAGTGAGACCCTCACATAGCCTGGTGCCTTTGGGACATTTTTCCTTTAAATCCTTAGACTGTCTATGTTTCATGTGTTGGGTATGAGTGTCAAATAACAAGTGCTTTTTCTCTCAAGCAGTTGT